TGCTGATACGAGTCTGCTGATACAAGTCCATTGATATGAGTTGCTGATACGGAGACTCACTGATACGGATGAGTCACTGATAAGAGTCACTGTTACGGAGGATGCTGATATGAGTCACTTATGCGATTGCTAGTCTGCCCTTTGTGGGGTGTGTGAGCGGCGTGGAGTCTCCAGTGCTCGTTCGCGCCTGGCGTCAGAACGTTCTTTGACCTCGTCGATTGTCCTGCCGTCGACTTTGGGATGGTATGGGGCCTCGTGCCATTTCATTCGAACCCGATGCCTAGCTTTCTTTCAGGCCTTTCCTCTCAAGTCAATTCAGACCTTCCGAGGAGGTGCGGCCGGAGGAGGTGCAGCCGGGCGAGGCGTTTGAGCTGCATTATTTGCATTTGCATTCTGAGGAGTCGTTGAAGCTGCATTTGTTGCATCAAGCCCCTGCCAAGGTACGGAGGATGCCAGCGCCGGGCGAGTTGATGTGCGGGTCGATAAAGCTGCATTATTTTCAACCAGAGCGTCCGATGAATCCAGGCAGGTCGATGGAGCTGCTTTTGCTGTATTTGGAGGGTCCTTCAAAGCTTCCGGATCCCCCTCACTGGCTGCATTCGATGCGTCCTCGTCCGCCGACGCTGCATTAGTTGCATCCGCATCATCCGCCGATGAATATTTCAAAGCTGCTTTATGAGCATCCACAGCATTTTCCGATGAATACTGCAAAGCTGCTTTATTAGCCTCCAGGAAAGAGGAAGGGATGGACGCTTGCGAGTCATCTAGGAAGGGAGATTGTGAGTCCTCAGCAGCCTCCAGTAGAGCTTCCAAAGCGGCCACACGTGCATCCCTGGAGGCTTGTGAAGCCTCCAAAGCTGTCAAGTCGTCCAGGAAGGGAGATTCCGAGTCCGCGGCAGCCTCTTCCAATAAAGCTTCCAAAGCGTCGGCCCCAGCATCCGTTGAGGCCTGTGAAGCCTCCAAAGAGGCTCCGGTTGTATTAATTGCTGCAGCAGTCTCAACTGTGCTGGTTGCTGCTGGGTCTGTTGCAGCTGTTGGTTCATCCGGGGCAAGTGAATCCTTGTGATCTTCAGAATCGTAATACTCATTGGAACCGTAATATTCATCGAAATCGTAATATTCGTCAGTTTCAGCGTGGATTGCTTCCGAGGAAGTGGATGCATCTCTCAGGGGGATGTGAGTGTTCTGGGGGAGTGCAACGCATTTTTAGCTCGTAGACCAACACTTCATTGTGACGTAATACATAGTAGAGGTGTAAAGCTAGGTGTAAAGCTAGCTGTGAAGCTAGCTGTAAAGATAAAGCTAGCTGTGAAGCTAAAGCTAGCTGTGTGCTAGCTGTAGTATTAGCCCCAGACCCAGCTTGTCCAGCTCCAGCTTCTTGTCTAGCCCCAGGTCTAGATCTATGCTGATATCTATTACTACAACTGTGTGAATAATTGAAATAGTTTGAGAAAAAGAAATACTAGTACTTTTGCAAAAGTAGATCTAGTACTGAAATTACAACAACTACTAGTATTACATTTTCTGCTACTAGTTCTGTTTATCATATAGTAATGGTACTACTATAGTAGTACTAATTATACGACTGTTTTTCATATTGGTAGTACTACTGATATTAGATGTTGCTAATAACTAAGAATCAAACAATCATATGGTGCTACTAGCTATAGTGCTAGCTGTAGTAGTGCTGTGACCTACTAGCTGTAGTGCTAGCTGTTCTAGCTGTAGTAGTGCTACTAGCTGTAGTGCTAGCTGTAGTGCTAGCTGTAGTGCTAGATGTTGTGCTAGATGTTGTAGTGCTAACTGTTGTGCTAGCTGTTGTTCTAGCTGTTGTGCTAGCTCTTGTGCTAGCTGTTGTGCTAGCTGTTGTGCTAGCT